AACTCGAAAAAGAGTTAAAGGGCCTCGCCGAACCACTTGTCAAATGTGAAAGAGACAAAGCTAGAGCTGGTGCATCTTTTCACGTTCTAGCGGTAGATACATACCCCATATTTTGCGCATTTGGCAAGTGGTGTGGCGAGGCCCGTACGCAGCAGAATGGAGACTCCTACTCCAAAGAACAGACCAAATCAGATAATCCATAACCCAAGGAAGCAGGAACGATGGCGTCACAATTCACGGAGAGCAACATAGGAGAAAGAAGAACAGGAAGTGAGAGAGATTACAGAGTGGGAGCCAAGACGAGAGGAGGAGGTACAAGACAGAGACACAGAGGAAGAGAGAACTTGAGGGGGGGGGAGGAAGAGGGGGGGGGGATTGGGGCATGAAAAGGACCGTACAAAAGCAGAGAGAATTTGGGGGGGGGGAGGGATTGAGGCATGAAAAGGACCGTACAAAAGCAGATAAGGGAAGGGAACGTTACGAATCAGAGTCCAAAAAGGGAGGGAGGATCAACTGGACAGAAACAAATAGAGATAGACACACACACACACACACACACACACACACACACACACACACACACACAGAGAGACACCTGAGGCAGAGGGACAGTAGATTGTAGATCAGTGACGGAAGAGGAGGAAAGGGAGAAGAGGAGGAAAGAGAGAAGGAAAGGGGAAAAAAAGAGAGTAAGGAGGGAGGAGAAGCGGGTCAAAGTGCGTAACGGAATAGAGGAGGGAGGGAAGCTGGACGATACGGATGGAGCGGGGAGAGAGAGGGATACAGGATATTGGAAAGGGAGGAAACGCTAAGCGACCATGAGCAGAGAAGGACTGTGAGTGATGCCGAAGTAGAAAACTCAAGGGAGAAGTAAGCAAGGCATAGACAATGTCGGTGCGATCAGGAAAATGAATGACCAGTGAATGAATGGTAGAGAGAAGAAAACACAACCAGACCAAGGAGAGCCCCTCCACATAGGTACCATTCCCATTATTATCTCATTGAAGGCTCACTCATATTGGTGCCTTCTCTGAGATGATGGAACGACGGAGGGGATGGATCAGGTCTAGAAAAGGAGAGATGCTTTATTGTAAAGATCAGGAGAGAGGGAGGGATTAAGGCGGGAACTAAGACGTGACATCGATTTGGAAAGATACAATGCTTTCTCGCAGGTGGTGGTTATGAAAATAAGGGAAGAGAGGAGGGGTTGGAAGACGAGAAAAATTGGCCGATACATAAGCGACGAACTGAGGAGAGGAACGGTAGGGCGATTGATCAGAAAGAGGGGAGACCGGGAGGGGGAGGGAGGGAATAGACAGTCATGCTGGAAACAAGGAGGGAAGAGGACAGGGGGAGAGGAGAACGAAACAGACCAGAGGTCAGTGCATGTCTACCCCCCCCCGCTCGTCTCTCTCTCTTTTCGCTCTTGAGGACTTGGGGATGTCAGGAAAGAGGGACAAGTGAATCCTGACCGCAGAGAACCACCCCATCCGTCCAACCCCCCCCCCCCCAACCACCAAAAAAAAGAAACACGGCACCTCTGACGAATGGGAGAAAGAGGGGGAGAGAGAAGAAGACGAATGATGACTGATGCACTGAAAGGACATGATGCATTGAAAGGACACGAGGAGGGGAAGAAGAACGAGAGAGAGAGAGAGCGATAGACCGGCATAGAGAACGTGCAGTGGCGTAGGGCGGCAGGAAAGCCTACCTACGGCAATTGTTCCTTACGTTTGGAGGAAGCGCTATGCACCACAGAGGAGAGGGAAACGAGATCTTGGACGCACGCCGGGTTCAGCTTGTATCTGATCATCATCACCAATTTGAATATATGAAATACTAGTAATAAGAGACGAGTACAGATTGACACCGTCTTCCCCCGAATAGAAAGCAGGGTCATTATAGCTGACTGCTGCATTTGTGGCAACTCGGAGTCTAGATACGGCGATAATGACCGTGAGTCCCTTATCGGGGGAAGACGGTAGGCCTTGCACGCCTGTGGTCGAGACTGCGTCGTCACATTAACAGGAAGAAGAGTGCCGATCATCCATCTACACGTGTCATCTCCACGCGTCTCCAGATGTCCACGATCGGGATCGCGGATGCAAGGTGTGCTAACGTTGTTGTTTTCAGTAGGCCCGAGCTATTGCTGGGCGGATCTCTCTCTCTCTCTCTCTCTCTCTCTCTCTCTCTCTCTCTCTCTCTCTCTCTCTCTCTCTCTCTCTCTCTCTCTCTCTCTCTCTCTCTNTCTCTCTCTCTCTCTCTCTCTCTCTCTCTCTCTCTCTCTCTCTCTCTCTCTCTCTCTCTCTCTCTCTCTCTCTCTCTCTCTCTCTCTCACTCTCAGACACACACACACACACACTCTTACTGTTGGATCAGCTCACCCCAAACACCTGGCCGCGCTGCAGACACGTACAGCCAAGCCCGCACGATTGCCGCCGCTATCTCATTGGCCATGGTCAGGCTTTTTCCATTATGAATGAAGGCAGACCATGATCTGCAACAAATACAGTAATCGTCTATCTCGATCAGGACTACGACGAACGCATCTAACTGCAATGACGGCCATAAACTACGACGTACACGAGGAAAAGGAGGAGCTGCATGCGGGTGACGAGGGGTCCATAACAAGCACGAGAGCACGTCAGAGAAAGTGTAGAGCGGCGTCGAGAGACACAAGGAGCGCCAAGGAGTCCACCAGACAGACACGACATGCAAAACAACCCGAGTAAACAACAGCGAGAAAGAGAGGAGAGGACGGAAAGCGAATTGACGATAAAAGGTACAAAGAGAAACAGCGAATACTGTTATCAACTGCACATCATACCATTAATTCTCGCGCGAGGAAGAGGAATACACAAATCTTATATAGCTGTCGGCACGTAGATACTTACTCCAGTACTGCTCGGTAAGTATATACTTACTTCAGTAATACTGTACAATATTAATTACAGTAATATAGATACAGACCATCACGTTCTTGAACGAGTTCATCCATTTTATAAACTACCATCTGCCCCTACTTACGCATGTGATATAGTACCTAATATTGTACCATGTAGGGATTTGTTCCACGTCATTGGAAAAAAAATGTTGATTCCTACACCATCACTGAGGGGCGTTGATATGGAACAAATCTACGGACTTGTTTCTATCCAGCGGAGCGACGAAACCATCGACAAGGTCCGATAAACGAAGAAAAGGCGATGGCGGTGAATCGACTGTTTTTGTTGACGCCATTGGCACGTGGATGGATCCGAGAGTTCGGTACGTGGACGCATCCAAGACTACCTTCTTCCCCCGAATACAACGTCCGGTCATTATATCTGGCATCTAGACTGAAAGATGCCTCAAATACAGCTATAATGACCGTACCTTGTATTCGTGGGAAGAAGGTAGAAAAAAAACACGTGGCTGCATCCCAGACACGTAAATACACCTGAGCCAAAAGCACGTGGGGTGCTAGCTCAGCTGATACGGCCATTAACTGTTGACGAACGATACAGAAGCGCGAGTTCCAATTCCCAGTGGAACTCGAGGTTCCCAGTGGAACCACTCGCGTACAATTTTATTTTTTTTATTTTTTTTGAAAAGCACATGGGTGCGTCCGAGTCTGTACCACGTGGGATGCATTTTCGAGGAGTCGAGGACTTATGACACGTGGGGGATATTTCACATATCCGACCCACGTGGATAAGTCTCAATCTAGTACACGACAGATGAATGCGTCTGAGGCTAGAACGAGAGATGAATGCATCTGAACCCCTATGACGACTAGATGCATCCTAGACCATCCACCTCGCCTTGATATATGGTAGTAATTACAGTACGCTGGCCAATCGTGATTTCGAAAGGCAGAAAACGATATTGAAGAAGGGCGAGGTGGGGGCGCGTTGAGTTTCCGCAACGCCTGAATCTGGACGTGTTTGTGGACACGTGCAGTTGAGGAAACTCCACGCCATTTCTGTACTTCTCCACAAACACGTCCAGATTCAGGCATTGAGGAAAACTCGACTCTGCTAGTGGGACTTCGGCCCCTGGTTGGTACAATGCAGACGATTGATACTAAATACAGTATGGCGGAAAAAGTAGAACACGTTTATTGAAGGAAAACATAATAACTGAAAAAAAAAAAAAAAAAAAGAGGATAACGTACTACCAGCTGATTGGTGGTACACTGCAGACGATTGAGAAATGCGGTATTGGGAAAAAAAAAAAAAAAAGGAGAGACTCGATAAGAATGTTGCGTCGGCCTCTCGACGATGCTATTAGGCGGCTTGAACACCTCCTCGGCAATTTGCAGAATCCACAACTTGAGCGCTAAAGGCATGAACAGAATAACACAATTTTTTTGACTGAATCTGGTCCCAATTGCGCACCAATGCATCCAGGAAATATTCCTAGCATGCGTACGGCTATCATCAATCCTGACACATCAGCTGCACGTGAGCACCAACGACAGCCCTGCAATTGTACAATCAATCACGAGGTGTACACCAACTACCACCCTCAAGGATACCCTTGTAAAGAAAAAGGGCCTCGCCGCACCACACCAACCTTCCTTCTGAAAGGATCTAGACCTGACACAGGTCCCGATTCATTCAAGATGTTGGCACTCGTTCGGCGAGTGTGTGCACCGAGCCCTAACCTACCCTACCCTACCCCACCCCCAACAATCACAACCCCCCCGTCCAACACGGACAGCTGCGTGCCACGCGACGATGATATCCACTCCCATCCATTCCATTTATCGTCCAAATACAAATATTGCGCAATAAGAACCACCCCTGCTAATCACACTGCGAGCCCATTTGACAGGCACCAAGGGTCCAAGACCCACGAAGGAAAAAGGGGGGGTCCATCCGACAATAAGTCAGTCATTAGGACATAAAATACATACAAATGACAAGCAAACATATGCAAACTTTATGCTCATAACCTTCCACATTCAAGGCACACACATGAGCACATGCTATTCCGTCGGCAGAAAGGAGACTCACCATTTCCATCCACGCGATCAGCAGTTTCCTTAAGGTATCAATCATCACACCAGGCAGGATCGTCACGACAGAAAAGAATCTGACATCTGACCGTTGTGTGAGGTACTCAGAAACCCACTCACGACGATCGACGATGTGAGTGCGACCTTCCCGATCGCATCGACATGGCTCTCTCCTACTTCGATTCCTTCTCTTTGAGTCGTTGCACACACCATTAACGTCATTAATTAACGTCGCCCACCCACCCGTAGCCTCACAACTGTCTCCTCCCTATCGTCCCTTCCTCTGATCTTCTGGCGTGCTGATTGGTTCCCCTTCTCTCTCTCTCTTCTGGCGTGCTGATTGGTTCCCCTTCTCTCTCTCTCTTCTGGCGTGCTGATTGGTTCCCCTTCTCTCTCTCTCTCTATCTCCCTCTCTCTCTCTCTCAGTTTGTTTGCATGCACTTGCGCACGGGAAGTCGTCGTATACACAGCACTACCCCTGATGAGTCTTCCGCAGCCTGCTCATCGGTATGGACGTCGATACCTGTTCCTCTGGGTCCCCGGGAGCAAGGTCCCACTTGGGCAAATTAGGAGATTTCGGCCGTTGATCTTTTTTTTATATCTACGGTCAGTATCGTTTCATTCGCGCAAGTGGGACCTACCGTCTTCCCCCGAACACAACGCACCCGTATGTTGGCTGTATCTGGCCGGAAATATAACTTGTTAACATTCATTTTTAGGGTGCGTTATGTTCGGGGGAAGATGGATAGCCCCCGGAAAAGCGGTGCGTGACCTCTGCACACGAGGTTGCAAACCCGGGGGCCAGGCCCCGCTTGCACGGATTAGGAGATTTCGGGCCGTTGATCTCTCTCGGCTATCTACGGCCTCTATCTCTTAATTCGTGCAAGTGGGACCTACAGGCTTACCCCGAACATAACGCACCCTAAAAGTGAATGTATACAAGCTATATTTCCCGCCAGATACGGCCAAAATAAGGGTGCGTTGTGTTCGGGGCAAGACGGTAGCCCCCCACGAGAGAAAGCACCGGCGGGAAGGCTTGGAAAAAAAAAATGGAAAACGCGCGCCTTCGGCCGACCAAGGTCGCAAACGGAGAATTCGGTCTTCCCGCCGCGCGCTCATTTATTCCATTCGCAATTCCATTCACAAAACAAAAAAACAAAAAAAAAAAGGCGGTAGCTGCACTGTTTCAGCTGCATTGTTCCCGCTGATCGCCGCGCTCCGCTACTCATACTAACGATATGCTCAAAATGAGAATGAATCTTTCGCTAGAATATGCGAAGATACGCAGCCACTGTTTTTGTCTTTTGTACATGTCCGGGGCCTACAGTAGGTCCCATTAGCAAAGAGGATTGGAACTCGCTCCTGAATCTGGACGTGTTTTACTCAAGAATGCAGAAAAGCTGTTCAATCTCGAATTTCAGCACTTTTCCAAGAACTTGTCTAGATTCGGGCGTTCAATCCAATCCATGTTGCCAGTGGGACCTCGCCCCGGAGTAGCCTAGCGACCCCCTTTTCCCTACAATACTCTCGTCTGTGTCCCGGGGCAAGGTCCCACTTGCGCAAATTAGGAGATTTCGGCCGTCGATCTTTCCTATCTACGGTCAGTATCTCTTAATTCGTGCAAGTGGGACCTAGCCCCCGTCCCGTCTCGTCTCGTCTCGTCTTCCCAAGGACGCTGCACGGCCTCCTCAAGGCGGGGGCAAGGACCGTCTCCTCGATGCGGTGTGGAAAACACGGCCGGCCTTGCCAACGCTGTGAAAAACAGCAAAAAAAAAAAAAACAGCAAAAAACGACGGGCTCTCTCTCGGGTATACACCCATGTGTCACTGTTTTTTTCTTTTC